CTCCCGGTTCCTGCAGGGTCCTGAGCCACCAGGCAGAGAGGGCTGTGCCTGGCTGGGGATAGATTTTGGAAGCTCATTTGATTGCTGATTGAGGTGACGGTGTTGGCTCATCCCAGTGTCTGGACATGAGGTAGAAGAAAGAAAACCTCCCAAGAACTGGGCCAGGTCAAGGCTCAGGCAAAACACAGGATGTGGATTCAGTGGGAGGCAAAGGGGAGGCAGGCAAAGGGGGGCCTCCTTGTCTGCAGTGTGCTATCAGCTCCCACCTGCAAAACAGAAGCTCCTTACAGGCTGTCTGGGGCCGAGACCCGAAATGCAATGAACAGGATCATTTGCCCAGAGCAGTTCTAGGCAGGTTCACTGAGCACATTTTGCTGCTGGAGAAGAGATGCCTCTAAGGAAAAGAGGCCACCCTGCTAGCCCTGCAAAGCTGGGGCTGCTCAGACAGAAGTCAGAGCACTGGCTAACATTAAGCAGCTCCTGGGTACCAGACTTCGTGCTAAGTGTTTTGCATTTCTGATTTCATTTGGGACAATATAGATTGATAATCATTGTAATAACTAATAGTTCTTGAGTGTAAAAGGACAGGAGATCAATTCATTTAATACTCAAAACCTACTGTCTATGGGGTGAGGGAAACTATTACTTCATCTGTAATTTTGCCCCAAGTTTCTAAGCCAGGAAATGTCCCAGTTGGGATTTGACTCCCAGCTCTCTGACCTTGTACCCCCTGCTTTTAACCAGATTTTCCTGAGATGTTCTAGATGTAAGCTTTGTGAGGCTCTATTGCAGGGCCTTCAAATAGCCCTTCAGCTATGAATTATCCAGTTTGGCCCAAAGCTCCCATTCCACTCTGGCTCTATGGGGTCCTGAAGCCTGGAATCTCAAAGGCACCCTGTCCTAGGAGAGTGGCTGTCCCTTCGTCTGCTCTGGGTTTGTTGTGACGTGCTGGGTGGCAGCCCCAGGCCACGGAGACTGGAGGTGGGTGTGGGGCAGGGGCCAGACCCTGAACTGAGAAGTGGACGAGCCTGGATCCTGCTGCTGCAGAGAAATTGAAACCAAAGACAGCAAAGGGCTGCAAGTCCTGGCCCTGTGTCTCTTAGAAATCCCTCTGCCCTGGGGCAGATCTAGGCTCAGTATCCTGAAAATAAGGGAGATCTTCAAATCCCGCGAGGCCCACTCTTCCCTGATCTGAAGTGAGAGGCCACGGGGTGGCACCCAGACAGGCGGGCCTCCAGGTCCTGTGAGCATGTGCTTTGTCACAGAGAGCTCACTACCCTTCCAGCCTGCCCATGCCATTGCTGAGCCCCTCCTCTGGCTGGAAATGCAGGTTCTGGAATTTTGACCAACTGCCCCTAGTCCCTCTTCTGTGCGATGGTCAGTGTGAGAAGCAACCATACCCACTCCGTCCCCTTGGCTCGCCCGGGCTACACACCCTCGTGGTTCCTCATGAAACAAGATTTCTGTGCTCCTCCTCATTCTGCCGATGATCACTGGGCTTCTCTGGTGCCCACAGAAAAGCAACTGTAACAACGACAGCAAAGCCAGCAAATATTCGGGAACTTATTGTGTGGTGGGCGCCTCACCAGATGCATTGGGGGGTGGGAGGGCACAGAGGTCTTACACCCGGTCTTGGTCCTCAGCACGCTGACCACACAGGTGAGAGGGAGACAGCTTACCCTGGCATTTGCAGGCCAGTGGAGGCCACCTGCCAAACGCCTAAACATTAAAAGTCATCAGAGGCTGATAGAGAAAGGATATGGAGTTTCTTTCTGAGGTGATGAAATATTCAAAAATGACTGTGGTGAAAGGTGCACCCACCTATGAATACACTGAAAACCATCGAATTGTACACTTTAGATGGGTAAATTGTATGACATGTGAATTATATCTCAGTTAAGCTGTTCAAGATTTTAAAAGTTTTACAGGTAAACCAATTATGTTCTGTCTTCCTACTTTGAAAGCATTCCTTCATAATGTTCTGGAAATTCTGCACGGAAATGTGGCAGCTCAGAGAGAGCTGGTCTAGGCCTCCCTCCTCCCTGTGTCTCTCCTTCCCGCCCCCAGCTCTGTCCTGCACCTTGGGAGGCCTCATGAGCACGATGGTAGACCCTTTAGCTCACAAATTCCAGCTCCGGGCACAGCCCCCCTCCTGGCCTTACAGTTTGGGGTGTGAACACTGGTAGTGGAGTCTGCCCTTGAGAGGCCAGACCCAGGGAAGAAGAGATCATCACAGGCCCAAGTGTACCAGGGTCCTTTTGCCCTGAGAATTCCGGAGTTTGGCGCACAGCCAGTGCTACACAAAAGAACATTCTGGAGTGTTGGAAATGCTCTATATCTGCACTGTCCAATGTGGCAGTCACTAGCTTCAGATGACAACTGAGCACTTGATATGTGGCTAGTGCACATTTTTAGGAACTAAATTTTTAAAATAAAAATATCATCAAATAAGAACTAAGATAATTAATTTTAAAAAATTTAAATTAAATAACATTTAAATTTAAGTTGTCATGTACTAGTGGCTACCCTATTAGATAGCATAGGTTTAGAAAATGGTGGTGGTGAGGGGCTCTGAATGGACATGTCCTGTTGACTCTTTTGATTTCATCTCATGGGAAGAGGGTGGGTTGGAGGAGGACCAGGCTGGGGCTCCTAGGTCTCAGGAAGATGCTGAAGAGGAAAATGAGATTTGTTCTCAAAAGGAAACTGCCATATAAGGCTACATATTCCTGGCCAACAGAACCCTCCCGATTGCTGAGGAGAGAAAGGCAGATGGCTTGTGGGCTGGGGGAGCAGAGGGGCTTGAGGGGCCCCCCAGGCGAATCCTCCTGAGATTTTGCAGGGACCTATTTCACATAAGAGACCTGTCTTGGTAGTTCATGCCTGTAGGACTGTGGGTCTTGGCAGAGAGAGAAGGCTCTGTTATTTTTTCTGCCGAGGCCATGTGAAGGGGGCAGGCCATGTGCATAGTTTCCATGGCATAATCTGACTATAAAGCCCTGTGTGTCTGTGGGGGAGGGATGAGGAGAGGCCCTCAGCCCAGCCTCAGTCAGAACTGGGCACGGGCCCAGGAGGCACATTCCCTCCCGGTTCCTGCAGGGTCCTGAGCCACCAGGCAGAGAGGGCTGTGCCTGGCTGGGGATAGATTTTGGAAGCTCATTTGATTGCTGATTGAGGTGACGGTGTTGGCTCATCCCAGTGTCTGGACATGAGGTAGAAGAAAGAAAACCTCCCAAGAACTGGGCCAGGTCAAGGCTCAGGCAAAACACAGGATGTGGATTCAGTGGGAGGCAAAGGGGAGGCAGGCAAAGGGGGGCCTCCTTGTCTGCAGTGTGCTATCAGCTCCCACCTGCAAAACAGAAGCTCCTTACAGGCTGTCTGGGGCCGAGACCCGAAATGCAATGAACAGGATCATTTGCCCAGAGCAGTTCTAGGCAGGTTCACTGAGCACATTTTGCTGCTGGAGAAGAGATGCCTCTAAGGAAAAGAGGCCACCCTGCTAGCCCTGCAAAGCTGGGGCTGCTCAGACAGAAGTCAGAGCACTGGCTAACATTAAGCAGCTCCTGGGTACCAGACTTCGTGCTAAGTGTTTTGCATTTCTGATTTCATTTGGGACAATATAGATTGATAATCATTGTAATAACTAATAGTTCTTGAGTGTAAAAGGACAGGAGATCAATTCATTTAATACTCAAAACCTACTGTCTATGGGGTGAGGGAAACTATTACTTCATCTGTAATTTTGCCCCAAGTTTCTAAGCCAGGAAATGTCCCAGTTGGGATTTGACTCCCAGCTCTCTGACCTTGTACCCCCTGCTTTTAACCAGATTTTCCTGAGATGTTCTAGATGTAAGCTTTGTGAGGCTCTATTGCAGGGCCTTCAAATAGCCCTTCAGCTATGAATTATCCAGTTTGGCCCAAAGCTCCCATTCCACTCTGGCTCTATGGGGTCCTGAAGCCTGGAATCTCAAAGGCACCCTGTCCTAGGAGAGTGGCTGTCCCTTCGTCTGCTCTGGGTTTGTTGTGACGTGCTGGGTGGCAGCCCCAGGCCACGGAGGTTGCCTAAGACAATCCTGCCTTTCTGAGTGGCCTCAGCCGGCCCACACAATGCCCTCTGTCTCCACCAGGGCAGAAAGGCGCATTATTGCAGTCGGGTGACTCGGCTAGGCTGGGGTGATGTCTGCAGTCTGCACATCCCCCACCCAGAGCCTCCCCACACTAGCCGCCCTGCCACAGGCTGTGCGCGGAGGGGGCAAGGGGATCTCAAGGCCCGGGAGTCCTTTCCTCTTGAGGCTCCTGCCTTGCCTCTCGTATCAGACTGGTCCTTTCACCCTCCATCCCCTCCTGTAGGTCCTTCCCTGGACCCACATCTCACACTTCCAAGCCTTTGAATGCCCTGATATAAATTACTCTGGAAAGCATACAGCACCGTGCCTGGTACAACAGGCTCTCCCCAAATGTGACTTTCTCTTCTGTTTTCCTTTTCTGGCTTCTCATGTTTGGACTTTCTGCAGGTTGCAGATCATTTTGTCATAAGGAATTTTGACAGGGACACTGAAAACAAATGTGTTCTTAATAGCAATAACAGCCATGGTTTACTAAGTGCTAGCAGGTGCATGGCTCCAGGCCAAACTCATAGCCTCATAACAGCCCTGGGAGGGCTGTGCTCTTTCTAGTCCCCTGCTAAGTGTAAGAAACAGAGGCTCAAGGACTTGAGTGTCTTTCCCAATGTGGTAAAACTAGTAAGTGGTGCAGCTGGGAGTCAAACACAGTTCTGACTGAGTTCAGGTACTGTACAAGTGTTTGACCACTGTGTCATCGTGCCTGTATTAGGTTCCCAGGGCTGCTGTAACAAAGCACCAAAAACTGGGCGTCCTAGAACAACAGACATTTATTGTCTCAGAGTTCTGGAGTCTAGAAGTCTGAGATCAAGGTGCTGATAGGGTTGGTTCCTTTTGAGGGCTATGAGGGAGAATCTGTTCCACACCTCTCTGGTACTTCGCTGGCAGTCAGTCTTTGGTGCTCCTTCACTGTAGATGCATTGCCTGATGTCTGCCTTCATCTTCCCTGGGCATTCTCCCTGTGTGTGTGGCTGTCTCTGTGTCCAAATTTCCCCTGATGATTAGGACCCCAGCTGTGTGGAAAAGGGCCCACACCAATGACCACATTTTAGTTTGATCATCTGCAAAGACCTTATTCTGAATAGAATCACATTCATAGGTACTGGGACTTCATCTTTTGGGGGACAAAATTCAATCTGTAAATAAAAACCCTTCCTTGCTCAGTATCCTGATGGCCCAGGCTTTCTGAGGAACATTAAGAGGAGGTGATGGCCATCTTAATTGAAAAACACTTTATTGCTAAAAAATGCTAACTGTCACCTGAGATTTTGGCCAGACATGGTCTTTTTGCTGGTGGGGACTCGTCTTGGTGTTAATGGCTGCTGACTGATCAGGATGGTAGCTGCTGAAGGTTGGGGTGGCAATTTCTTAAAATAAGATGACATAAAGTTTGCCACGTCAATTGATTCTTCCTTTCAGTTGAACACTTAGAGGCCACTGTAGGGTTATTAATTGGCCTAATTTCAATATTGAATCTCAGGAAATAGGGAGGTACAAGGAAGAGAGAGAATCGGGAACAGCCAGCTGGTAGAGCAGTCAGATAACACACATAAAAAAAAAAAAAAGAGGAGGTGATGGTTCCCTCAGATTCCAGGACAGGACAAGAAAATCTCTTTTCAGGTCTCTGTTCACTGGCTCACACACACACCACAGCAATGGTCAGCAATGGTCAGGATGGAGGCTGGACTGCCATGTTAACATCTGGATCCATGGAGACAGTTGACATCTAGCAAGGGTGAGGCATGGAGGGTGCCAGGTGACCCATCAGGATGGAGAGGAAAGGGCCGGTAGTGTAGACACTCTCCTCCATGCACAGTGTTCCCACAAAGCCACACCAAATCTGTCCTTTAACTATCCCTCACTTCCCCTCCCATCCCTCTACCCTGTAGGCTCATCCTTCTTCACCTCGTTTCTGCTGGCCTGGAGCCCTTCTTGTAGTCTGAGTTGGCTGGAAGCAAGAGGGCCTGTCTCTCTGTGCAGCTCTAGCATTTGGCACAGGAGGACCTATTTACAGAGCATGGAAGGAAAAGGGAGGCAGCTTGCCAGCCACACCCTGGACTCTTCCATCTGTACCTCCAGCTACACCCACATTATCCCACCAGGTCAGCTACTGCCCTGCTGGGCCTCACTTAATGGGCTCCCGCTCATGCGGTGTAGGTGGGGCCAGGGAAAAGGAACGTCAGGGGGTGGAAACGTTGCTTCCAGCATCCCTGGCCTGAAGGGTACTGGGCCTAGGACTTTCACCTCCAGGCACACACACAAGGCTGCTGCCCTGGGCCTCTCTCCCAGCTCTCCTCTCAGCTCTACCCAGGCCTGCCCCAGCCTCCTCCGCCTCCTTCCCTCTCCTCTGCCAATACATGGAGGCTCCTGTTCCACCTGCCATCTTTCCAAGGAAACCTCCGTGATGGGTTTCCTCCATGTCAGGCCTCCCGGGCCTCAGTGGGCACACTCATACATGCTTTATACAGTTACACACACACATGTTCACACACTATATATTCACAAATGTGTACACATGTTCACACACACTTTGCACAGTCACTCTCACATGTGTCCACCCAATTCCACGCACATTTTACAAGTTAGGCACAGTCACGTGCTCACATACTCTTTTGTAAGTTACACACTCACACAAGTGCATGTGTTCATACATGCTCACATACTCAAACACACCTGCAATGCTCTCTCACAAACATAGGCATTCATACACATACACACACACACACACATGCTCACTGCCTCATATACACTCACAGAATCTCCCTGCTCAGGACTCAGCTGTGCCTGAGCAGGGCTGAGTTGGTACTTAGTGGCTTGTAAATGGGTCCCCTGGGATAAAGCACCCATTGGTCTTGTTGGGAGAATGAACACTGACAGAAAGAGGCTGGGCCCTCTGATAGAACCATGCAGAGGGCTAGAAGCCTGACTGACTTTTGGATTAAATCCCAGATCAATCATTTTATGGCTGGGTGAACTCACATACTTTCTTATTTCTCCAAGTCTCAATTTTCTTATTTGGACAATGGGGATAATGGTACCCATTTCATGGAGTTGTGACAAAACTAGGAAATGGATTTGAAAGAGATGGCCTGACATAAAAGAGGCATTTCTTATTATTTATTTAAAATTCAATTGCATTTTCATTTAAAAATAAGTAACAGACATATGATTCAAAATTCAAAAGGCAGAAAAGGGTATACAGTGAACTCTCCCTCTCACCTTATTCCCAAACCACCTGGCCTCCTTCCCCACCGCCGGTGTTAACAGATTCTTCTATTTCTTCCCAGAGAAATTTCTACATATATCAGTAACTATACATGCATATATTATTTTCCTCCTTTTTTTCCACAAATGGTACATAGTGTACACTCTGTTCTGTGCCTTATTTTTCTTCCTTAACTACGTATCCTGGAGAATGTTCCCTATCAGTACATAAAGGGTTTCCTCATTGTTTTATTGCTGCACTGAATTCCATTATATACAGGTACCATCGTTTATTTAACGAGTGCTCAATGCATGGGACACTTTAGGTTGTTTCCGAACTTTTGCTGCTTCAAACAAAGCTTTGGTGGAAATCTTGTACAGACATCAGTTCCCACAGGTGTGAGTATAACTATTAATACTGTAACTATTATAAAATGAGCACTGAAAGCTGCTTTTCCTCTTACATAGGCACTCACTTCTACAACCTGGGGCTGCGGGAATACTGAAGGTGTGCCATGAACCACCCCCAATGACCCCTGCTGGCTGAGTACACAACCCTTTCCTTTTGATTCTTAGCATTGAGATAGGACTCAATTCACATGTAATGAGCTTATATCACCTGGTTGTGGGAGGACGGTGAAGAATAAACTACTGCTGAGGAGAAGGAAATTTGCAAACCAAAGGGCATGATGCTCCTGCATTTGCCTATTGCTTCACTTAGTTGTTCATGGGACACACACCACCTGCTGAGCACTGTGTTGGGGGTGAGGATATGGCACAGATAAGGCAGGCCCTGCCCTCACGGAGTTTGCAGCTGTATGGTGGAGACAGACACAAAGCAAATAATTCACAAATGATAGGAGCCGTGACAGAAAAGCAGGCAGGAAAGAACTGTCCTCAGTTTAGGTCAACCCCAGATCCTAGGGGCGGGCTGGGGCACCCCATGACTCTTCTTTTTGAAGCCCCTTGAGGTGTTCCCTGGAGCCACCCCAGGGTCTCAGTCTCCTTCCCTGGTTGCCTTCCTGCCACCCCCTTTCCCTCCTGCTCTGGGCCGTTGGGGGCCTGGGCACTGGGCTGGCAGCCTGTGGATGCTGCCATCCAGGCACAGCTGCAGCCACATGGCTGCTCAGGCTCCTCAGAAGCTGTGGTCATGATGTGAGTGGGAGCTACAGTGTGAGGAGAGCTCAGGGACCCCCCACCCTGTGGAGGACTGACTCCAGCTGCTTGGAGCCCTGCTCATCAGAGCCAAAGCCAGCTCACCCTTCCAGATCCAGGAAAATAGCAATCTGATAAAACTGGGTTGTATCTAGTTGTCAGTCACTCAGCGAGGTAGTCCTCCCAGAAATATTTGCATGTGAGATGACATCATGTAGAGGGCTTTTGCTTAATGCAAAGGAGTGAATTGCTAACTGTAGAAGTCAGGCATGCAGGCCAGCCCAGGGTAGGGATGGAGGGGATTTGGGTGGATCACAGGGGACCTCGCTGTATTGGGTATTGGCAACAGTTTACTTCGTTTAGGATGATATACTCCAGGGTCTCTGCCCTGATTTTATTTTGGTTTTAACTGTGAGGAATCTGTAGAAATGAAAGATTTGCTTAAGTGTGGGAGCTCTTCTTATTCTTGGTGCCTCATATTCACCATATACCTTTCTAAGCAGCAATTCCCCATGCCACTGGATGGGTCACCTCCATTGTGACCCGCGGGGTGGAAATGGGGTGCCCCACCTGGAGAAGCTATACTCATTACGTCAAAATTACATAAGCATGGCTGGTTAGTTTTCAACTCCTAGAATCAATTTGTTGTAAAAGAGGAAGATTAAATGAAGTGTTACCAACCATAACAATCTAAACGTAGAAGTGACAAAAGTTGTGGGTGGAAAGGGACATCTTGGTGGAAAGAGATAGGGCCTCATTAACTCATTTCACTGAGCAAGGAGGCTATTGCCAGAAACCAGGCAAGCTTTAAGTACACTGTTCAAAGTTACAAAGATAACCAATAGATAACTGAAAATTGCAGTGACAAAAACAAGAGGACTAGGGGTTGGGTTACTGAGCTACATCCTCAGGTTTCTTAGGCAGGAGTCATAGATACATACCTCACATAGATAAATACAAATTTAGCAGCAAATTCCTTAGTGTTAGGGTGATGACCACCTACAAGCAGAAGAATGTAAAACTGGTTGTCTCTGGGAAGGAGGACCAGAGTTGGGTGGGGAACTGTTGCTTTTCTCTATAATCCCTATTACATCACATTTAAATTATGGGCAGGTTTTACTTGAATAAAACTTACAAGAAATACTTTCTCAATTGCCCACAGTTTCCATAATGGGCATGTATGATAATGACACTGTATGGTAAGAGACTATATGAAAATGTTTATTATTTGTTTAGTTTAACATTTTTTATTGTGGTAAAAACACATGACGGTATTTACCATCTTAACCATCTTCGTGTTTGCATTTTAATAGTGTTTCCTATACTCACATTGTTGTGCAACAGAGCTCTAGAATTTCATTTTGTAAAACTAACTTTATGCTTAGTGAACAACCCCCCATTTCTCCTGCTCCATATCCCCTGGCAACCACCTTTCTATTTTCTGTTTTTATGATTTGGCTACTTTAGATACCTCATAAAAGTGGAATCATGCAATATTTGTCTTATTTCACTTAACATATGTCCTCAAGTTCCATCCATGATGCAGCACAGCATGTGACATGAGTTCCTTCTTTTTTAAGGTGAATAATAATCCATGGTATGTATGTACCACACTTTCTTTATCCATTCATCTACGCATAGATCCTGAGTTGCT